GAAGCAACTGCCATGTGATTGGTTGATTAGAAAATTGCATTAATGAGAAATTGAACAGGTGTTCCTAATAATCCTTTAGGTGAGTGTAGATTTGGGTATGGATGGTAGAGACATGACCCTACGAATATTGTGGGAGTACCATGTGTGTTTAGGGGACGAGGGGGTTGGGGCTGATTTGGTCATTACCAATGCTGAAACCAAACCTACACCCATGGTAGACAGAGGCGGGCACATCTATTCATACAATAACCTGAGATCTCGTGACTGACAGCATTGCTGACCAATGATGTGCCGAACCACCAACAAGTCTGGATATTTGAATAAGGGAAAATATTAACATTTGACCATAACACGTGTGCTAATGTATCAGATAGTACTTAGTATAGCATGACTGAAAACTATTTCATCTTCTCACACGCTTCTATGAGACAGTGACTTAGTCTAGTCTGAGGTATTTAGCAATTCTTCACTACTCGGGCTCCACAAGATGGCGCCCCAGGGTCAGAAAGCGTAAAACGAGTTGTAATAGGTGTGCAGAGGTTGTTCATTTGGGATTTTAAAGAAATGTATGTCAAAAGCAGCATAGCAGCAGGTTTCATGTATTCATGTAACACAAATTCATGTATGTTCTGGCTTTATAAGTGGTAGATTCTGTTCCATGCCTCTGCAAGATGCAGATCAATATGAGATATCCAGCAGATGTGCAGCCCTCAATGAAAACCACAGCAAATTATTATAATTCGGATCTAACGCCACTTGCTCCATGATGTTTGTTATGATACTCAATAACATAACTATGGTGGTATAGTCATGTCAAAAACACATACCGTCTCGCATTTCAGCTCAACCCACACCATCTCAGCCATCAGACCAAGCCTTCAGACTGGCCATAAAGTGACCAGGCCTAGGCACACTTTGCATGACTTTCCATATGACGTATTTCACACGGAGGATAGATCATGCAAAGCGCTGCTTATTTCACAGTTTCCAACAAGCTTCCAAGGCCGGTGTTCTGTCGAAAAATACTACCTATCGAGACGTGCTATCGAGCCTTTCTGCGCATGTGCAGTTCCACCGTTTTGGGATTAGGGTTAGGTTTTAGGGGTTAGGGTTAAGGTAAGGGTTTTAGGGGTTTTGGGTGGTTAGGGTTAGGGTTAGGGTAAGAGTTAGGGTTAGGGCTATCGATTAGCACTACGGTAGCATTTTTCGACAAGGCAGCATATATCTTCAGAACACCGGTATTCTGTCATAAAATCCTACCTATTGAGACTTTCTGCGCATGTGCAGTTCCACCGTCTTGGGATTAGAGTTAGGTTTTAGGGGTTAGGGTTAAGGTAAGGGTTTTAGGGGGTTTTGGTTAGTGTTAGGGTTAGGGTAAGAGTTAGGGTTAGGGCTATTTATTAGCACTACGGTAGCATTTTTCGACAAGGCAGCTTATATCGACAGAACACCGGCTGTGTAGGAGCTCTGCAGGTTAACTGCCAAAGTCTCCCGGTATATTGCAAAAGTCAGGACTCCCGAGTGCTCTGGCTCTCATCCAGCTGGTTAAAGCCCCGCTTCATTCACTAGATTATTTTAATCATCTTTCGTAACAGCAAATCATCTCAATGTAATAATCAAAAATTAAATTGTCTTTTCCCCTGGAAACGCATTATAATGAGAATGTTAAAGTAAGAGCATTTTACACATCAAATGACCTCAAAACCTTACTAAACGTTTTCAACCAAAACGACCGTGCCACAGCGCCGATCTTATTTACATACAAATCCCTGTCATACAAATACAAAATAGACCCTCGTGAAGGAAAAACAGAATTTGCGGCACTGGAAATATAGGACTTACGACTTGGTTTTAAATTAAACAAACTGAGTCATTTCCTGGCGTTTCCGGTATGTTGCGGGCATGCGTTAATGTTATTGAAACATTACCAGAGAGTGGAACACATGCTAGTGTAATGATTAATACGTGGTATAGTAACACTCGCGTAGCCTCCAAGTTGGCCGATAATAGCATAGATTGTCCCTATCTGTAGGCTATAGAATCATATACCGGTGTCCCCCACCGTCTACCACAAGCTATTGAAGGATATTTTGAAAATAAAAGTCTGTAATTTCAATAATGAATACAAATTCAGTACTAAGTTACTTAGCGCTCGGTGGAGTGACGTGACCAGTCGTCGACGCCCCAGCAGCCTGCTGACTGATGGCACCGACTTATTCAAGGCAGATGCGTGAGAATTATGAATTGCAATCAAAGACATCGTTTATTGGATATATTATTACTGTTGTTAAATTATCTGAATATTTTGACCACCCATTTGAAGTCTTTGCACTGGAGATCGCAAATGTATACATTTTTTTTAAATCTAAGATCCTCGTTCCGACTGTGTTTTCCAATACAAATAGAAGTCCGAAATTTGTGCTACTCAGTAACCCATGGACTGATTGACTTGAACAGGCATCCTCTGCTCGATGTGCAGTTTGCAGGAGCTGATTGTGTCTCTTTGGCACGGGAGAACGACATTCTGTTAAGTTATACGCGGCTTAACACAAGTGATCGTACTTGTTTTCCCTTAATTATTCCTCTTGCCAGCTGATGTCACTCTTTACTATACTTCACTTCCGCGGCTCTGCGACTCCCTCTCCTTCCTTCTCCACCTCCACCTCCCCCATCACTTTAAACCCGGATGGATGACTTCACTTTTCCGCTTGGGTTTCCTTTATGTTCTGGGGATCTCCCAGCCTTTTCTGTCATAATCCTCTGAACATTGACTGGAACACAGCGCACCACTCTCCGCTGCGCACGCATCACCATAGCCGGCCAGGCGCTCTCGGAGTTGGACCGGTCTCTCCGCTTGCATTTCCATCATCATCATCATCATCATCATCATCATCAAGTCCACAGCACCGAAAACAGGAGAATTGCAATTATTCCTGAGATTCTTTCTTGCTTTCCTAAGGGCTACCACCGCTTCCCTTCCCTTCCCAGCAACTTGCTTTTCTGACTTGTATCTACCTGTGCCGAGATGTCCGAGGTCCTACCGTACAGTGAGGGCAAAATGAATGCCTACGGGGCAGATGGCGAAGTCAGCCCGATATCCTTCAGCTGCCGACTGCAGGACACCAATTCGTTTTTCGGGGCGTCGCAGACAAAACGACCCCCCAAACTTGGGGAAATCGGCAGAGCAAAACATGGTAAGCAAAGACAGAGAAATTACGATTTTAATACCTTCTTCTGTGACAATTTATTTGGGCATTGTTTATTAGGAAGAATGTGACAATGGGAAAAAATGCCCGCGATAATAATTTACATTGTGCTAAGAAGCGTGAATAACTGACAGATGATGAAATAAAGAGCTAAAACACAAACATCTAACACAACCGCCGTCCTAATTAGGGACCTGACTTCATCAAATTCATTAACCATCTGGTGTAATTTAATTGGAATAGCTTTATAGGCCAATAATATGCATAGAAAACCCTTGAATAAAGAAAAGCAAGAGCCTGCGTAGTCCAGGACTGCGTCTTATTTAGCATGAAAATGGTTCTACATTGACGGTTTCTCCGTGAGTGAGACCGCAGCGCGTCGTTAATGTCTGTCAAAATAGAGGCAGCTGGAGCAACAGCTGATCGTTAGACAGGGTACATACTGCATTACAAACACGCTGCTGTTTAACTGTGAATAGGTTACCAATTATTCGCATCTGATTTTAACCAGTTTCCACTAGAAAACCTGACCTTCCAATGCAATAACGTAATGTCCACACCTCCACCTTCACTGGAGGCATAAGCATCCATATTTTTTGTCCTACAGATATCTGTGTAGTGGGATTATATGTTTATGCCTGCCGGTGCTGGTGAAAAGCCTTGCAAACGTTGCGGAAAAATAAAAATGTGGTTCCTGTTTCTCTCACAGTGGTTATCGAGGACGACCGAATAGATGAGGTCCTCAAGGGAATGACAGACAAATCGCCACCAGGCGTTTAAACCCCAGTCATCCCACATATTTTTCATTTAAATCATCGGCTGGAAGCATTTGTCGGATCCTGTGTTTTTGGGGATTTTGAGAAAGCACGACAGCGGTGGAGACGAGGGAGGAGCAGATGGAAGACAGCGCGGAGGGAGAGGGGGGCGAGGAGGATGGAGGGAGTGAAGGGCTGCCGGCACTTCATCACACGAGACCCAACCTGACGCCCCCCAGCCGGGGACATAGCTGATGTGCGCGGATCCGTCGTCCCACCTCTGCCCGGCGGAGACGAATGGACATACCACTTCATCACCACACTCTTCCAAAAACGGCACCTGGAGACATACAGCAGTGTTCAGTCCAACCTGTACAGGTGTATAGTATGTAAAGGTGTGTCTGAAAGCTGACCACGTTTAACAAGCACAAGCGGCGACTTACGGAGCTGCTCGTCCCAGCACCGAGACAGTCGAAAACCAAGGCAAAAAAAAGATTTGCATCATAAAGTCTACCCAAGGATTATGCGTTCTTTATATACAAGTATCTTCCTTTTCAAAAAAATAAGACCAATCCATTCGCTTTTTTTTTGCAAAGAAATTTCCATATTTATATGGTTCACATGAAATGTATTGGAATATATTTATTTCATCCTCAGTAAAATGGATACACACAATCACAACGAATAAAGACTGCCGAGAGTCATTGCTTTTATAATAGCGTATCGTCTTCGCATAAAAAGAAGTCGACGTTTTCCATGTTTGCATGAAGATTCGTTTCGGGCTCTTGACGGGCGCATCAGTAGCCCATGTCTTGCTTATTTTTTGACACATTTCACATTTGTAATTTTTATACCTAATTTTAACAAATTTGTTAGTAATACTGATACGTCGATGTACCATTTTGCGATGTATCCACAAGAGGATGTTACGACTGACATACAAGAAGTATCAGATTTTTATTGACGGAAGTATTTGCGTTTTTAGCTTACTAATCGTGTTATTTATTTTCAAATACAGACGTTATATTATGCAGTGGTGCGACGTGTGGATTTTTCATGCATACATAAATACAGTATATACACGTAACGTTTTTATCTGATTGATTTCTACACAACACAGAATAATTATCGTTTATTCTGCATGATATCTTAATATTTTCAATACATTTATGAAGCAAAAAAAACCTATTAATGTCATGACATTCTAAGAATGAGTCGTTGTGTGCTACGGTGCAATGTTCACTGGATTTGATGACTGAATAAATGTCGAGACTCCGACCGCGTGTCTGCGTATTCCTGAGTGTGTTTCTGTCACCCTCCTACCGCATACTGCGGAAAATTAGGAATCAGAAGCAGGCAATAGGCAGTCAATAGGGGTGTTACTCGTTAGAGAGCCACACATATCACACTGGAGATCAGGTCCAATTCCATGGTTGGTGCTGCTGTTTAAACATTAACATGAATAAAGCCAACATAGCCTATCATCAACCTGGAGATTGCAAAGGGAAATGGCCACTGTAAAAGACTGGAGCTGAGTCGCACATACATTGTCAAGACTGGAAAGGGGGAAGGAGTGATGATCCAGTGATGTCTGGGACTGATGCAGACTTTATTATAATACCAAAAATACAAGGGGTCAAAACATGAAGCAGGGAGAGATGTAAAACCAGGGTTGTAAATGATCCCTGGGCATCTTTCGAAAGAGTAGGGGTGGTACCCCAATGTACTGGCTAAAATTGCCCACTGTGGCCCTATCAAATACAGCCTCCTAATCATCCCCTGTATCTAACTGGTGAATACTCTCCTGCTCCTTCACCACTTTAGCTACTGTGCAGTGAGTGTACTGGTGCAGAATGGCTGCTGTCGCATCATCCAGGTGGGGGCTACACAGTGGTGGTGGTTGAAGCGGCTCCCCGTTGGTTCTGTGAGGAACTTTGGGTGTCTTGAAAAGTGCTATATAAATGTAACTTTCATTCATTCATTCATTCATTCATTCATTCACAACCAGGAGGGACCAGGGCTATCATAAACAAGTAACAACACTGCAAAAGAACATATAGCACAAACACTAACATGCACAATAACCAAAAAAGAAATAGGACAAGGGCAGCACATACTGTGAGGGAAATAATTATTTGACCCCTGCTGAATTCCTAAATGCACCCATTTTTAAAGAAATTAGAATTCTATAATTTCAATGGTATATTTATTTTAACATCAGAAGATAGATTTTCAACTAAACAAACAAGAAAAAAAAATATTATGTGACAGGTACAACTCAAACTGTCATTTATCTAGGGAAATAATTATTTGATCCCCTAGAAGACAGCAAGAAATTAGGTCAAGTACATGTGCACTAACACAACACAAGTACTAAATAATTAAGAATTAACAGTTACCAAGCCAGCATTCTCATCTAATGGCATTACTTTGTTAAATAGTATTCTTGGGTCACTAACCTGTCTACATCTTCAACCTTATCACCATGAAAAATACCAAAGAGTTGTCTATGTACATCAGAGACAAGATTGTTGACCTGATTCTTGACTCAGCTTGGTGAGAAAGTGACAACTGTTGGTGCAATTGGAAGAAAGACAAAATAACTGTCAGTCTCCCTTGGTCTGGGGCCCCAAGGAAGATCTCATCTCATGTGGCATCAATGATCTTAAGGACAGTGAGGGCTAACCCCAGAACTACACGGGTGGCGCTCATTAATGATCTCAAAGCAGCAGGGAACACAGTCACCAAGAAAACCATGAGTAACATATTATGCCGTTACGGTTTGAAATCCCACATTGCTCACAAAGTATCCTTGCTCAAGAGGGCCCATGTTCAGGCTCTTCTGAAGTATGCCATTGAACACCTGAATAATTCCAATGAGGCTTGGAAGAATGTAATGTGGTCAGATGAGACCAAAATTGAGCTGTTTGGCATTAATTCTACTACCATGTTTGGAGGGAAAAGAATGCTGAATATAACCCCAGGAACACCATCCCTACCATCAAACACAGAGGTGGAAGCATTATTCTTTGGTGGTGTTTTTCTGCCAAGGGTACAGGACAGCTGCACCGCATCAAAGGATAGGTGGACAGAGCCATGTACCATAAAATCTTGGATGAGAACCTCCTACCTTCAGCCAGAGCACTAAAAATGCATTGCGGATGGGTCTTCCAGCGAGACAATGACCCTAAGCATACAGCCAAGGCAACAAAGGAGTAGTTCAAGAAGAAGCACTTTAAGGTCACGGAGTGCCCTAGCTAATCTCCACACCTTAATCCCATAGAAAATCTATGGAGGGAACTCATGCTTCGTGTATGCAAGTGACAGCATAAAAACCTTAAAGATCTGGTGGAAGTCTGCAAATTCCTGCTGACCTGCATGCACACCTGGTGATCAACTACAGGAAACATCTCACAGCTGTGCTTGCAAACAATAGTTATTCCACCAAGTACTAAAGCATGTGTTCCAACGGATCAAATACTTATTTCCGTGGATAAATGACAAATTGGTTTGTAATTGCAACATGATGATTTTTTCTTGTTTGTTTTGTCGATAATCTATCTTTTGCTGTTAAAATAAACCCATAAGTGAAATTATAGATTTCTCATTACTTTATTAATGGGTCATCTTAAGAATTCAGCATGGTGTCAAATAATTATTTCCCTTACTGTATTTACTCTAATAACAAGGGCTAGGTGCAGGCCATAACAATTAACTAAATACTTGGCATCACCTGTAATAAGGAACAGGTGAGGGTAATTAGATGAGATGAGATGGCCAGCAGAAGTCTGGCCAAACAAGGACAGGACAGACGGACACAGATCCTGACAGGCACCCAGAAAGAGCACAAAGGGGAGACGAGAGAATGTTTTGGTGGGGGGAACACTGTGTCGACTCCATCTTGATTTGTGAGGTTGACGCCTTCACGTCAGCTTCATGCAGCAGATCCTATTAATCATATGGTGACGGGCACTTCTGAGGATAACCTCCACCTGTAATCATTTATCCATGATGACCGCCTCATACTGCCCCCTTGTACAATCATAATCACTGTCATACCGGGGGGCATCCTGCATGTAACTAGGAGGGCAGAAAGGTCACTTTGACAGATAATCACATGATCACATGGTTCTGCCCATCCAGGCTTTCACAGTCACATGAGTAGAAGCAAACCTATCATTGAGAAATGGGCTCGAACCCGAGGCAGCATTTGGAGTTTTTCTCCCTGCTGAGTCAATTAGTGACCAGTTTAAACATGCAGTAGGAATCAGTGGGAAATTCGAGGTATTCTCCATGCAGTTCAACTGAGAATGTAAGAGCAACTAAGAACACTCCTATACATTTTATAGTGAGTAACCAGCCCCCCCCCTCTATCTTAATGATTTTCAGAGGATGGTTTTTATTGCTGTTCTTTCTGTCCTGGCCAGGAGAGGGATTATTCGGGGGTGTTTATGCCTCACATGGCACCATGGAACAGGACCTGTGTTTCAGTCTGTAAAGGAGACAGTAATTACATTCTGTTGAATAATGACCAATGAACCACTGAGTATTATTCACAGGTTGCACAGTGAGTAAGCCCTGATGCTGCAGCAGCCGGGATCTCATCCATCCATCCATCCTTCTTATAACTGCATGGCATGCGGCTCATGTCATCATGCCCACGTTGTGTTTATCAGCTTCTGTTTGTACCTGCTTTGTGAGATGACAGGCCAGGCGGCCGTGCCGTGTGGCCACCGCGGAGGCGTGTTGATGACACATGTCCTACACGCTAACAGGAGGAGAGGCTGCTGCTGTTTATACAGCTTCTTGCTACGGCTGTTAGGTGAACCTGTGATGTTTCGGTCAGTGGTACCGTATGGAGGAGCAGGTTTCCTGGAGCGGATCCACCAGAAAGCCTCCCGAAGGAGACTCTAATACAGACAGGAGATACAGGAGAGAGACATGTACCCAATGCATCCAGGAGGAGGGGCTATGGGATCCCCAGGCTGCTCCTGCCGTCTGCCCCACAGCCTGAGCATGAGAGTCACTGGGGGAAGATGTCATTGACACAAACCCGTAGGTGTGACAGAAAGGACTCACAGTTAAGATGGAAACATCAGACATCAGGTGACTTCATTAGAGAGTGAATGTACTTTGGTAACATGTGAGTGTACTCCAGTCGAGTATGAGCGTGCTCCACTAGAGTGCGAGTGTACTCCGGTCAAGTGTGAGTGTACTCCAATAGGGTATGCATGTACTCTGAAGGTCTTTCTGTTGAGCCAAGGGCAGCTGTGGTGGACCATGGCACTGCAGAGAGTTTGAACCCTGTGACTGACGTGCAGTGCGGTCATACCGTAGCTGCAATAATGATATTCCTGTGATTGTGAGTGTAAGTATCTGTCTGTTAGTGGTGATGCATACCCTCCGGCCTCACATTCTGCATCCTCTCCGTTTCCCTTTCATCCCGTCTCTCACGCACTAGAAATTAGCATCGCTCCAGTTCCTGTTATCCACAACCCCCCTCAGCTGGCATGTGCTGCACTGTCAACATGGAGACAACTGGAAAAGAGGGAGGGAGGGAGAGAGAGGCAGGGGGTGGGGAGGAGGGGGACTTAACGAGGCAGATCTGTGCTCCCTCTCCAGACCATTTCCCAGCCTGTCACTAACAACTGCACTGGTGTGCGTGCATGCATGGAGGGAGCAGGAGGCTTGGCTCTGCAGAGAGGGTTAGTCACCACACTAACATTTCATCAGTCAGCCAAGGCATTCTGCCCACCAGGGCAACAATGCAGCAGGAACCCGGGGACAGCAAGGAGTGCCAAGGTTGCAGCAGCCATGTGCCAGGAGCGCCGCCTCATAAAGAGGCTGTGTGGAAGTTCAGGGGCCAGTTTTTCGTTTGGTGCTAGATGCCAAGAACAGCTCATATGACCTGTTTCACCAGCCAAACTGATTGTAGTGCAGCTACAAAACACATACTGTAAGTGTGCAAGCAGCTTGCTTTTGTCCATCCATAAGAAAATACACTGATCGCAGAGTGGCCTAATGCCTCTCTAACCGGTACTCCCCCTGCTGTTATACTCATCATACTGCAGCCCACAGTCTGGTGCACCAACCATCACTCCACAAAAAGCTACTCTGAATAAAGGGTTAAAGTCTTGGGGATCGTTGCTGTGGATCTATGCAGCTGCTGTTCTCATGGCAACCGCAGGAAGTCTGAGCCGACTCCCAGCCCACGGCAGACAGCTGAGTGAGGAGCAGCATTCAGATAGAATAGGGTGGGATTGAGGCTCCCATGTTGG